AGCCTCCCTCCTCCTTGTGGACCTGGACAGTACTGCATCCACCTCTGCATGCCCCCAAGGAGTCTCATACAGAGAGGTCAATACACATTATTTAAAACAACCATTCCCTGGGAACACTACTAGAGATAATGGTCATGGATTTTACTGTTAATGGCAGTGTACTTCAAGTATTTTACTGATTTAAAAGACTGTTAATTTTGTCTGAGGACCTGAACATCACTTAAGACTGTTTATTTTTAATGGGGAAATGTAAGTTTTTAAGTGAACTTTTATACTACAAGCCAATTGTAGTCTGAGAGACAACTGTATGTACTATGTCACCCAGTCTATGAGACACATCTGCGTGAAAAATAAAAGTGTCAATCAATCATGAAGATGAATCCAAATATTTGATTCAATGGCATCTTGCAAAAATATTTAATCATTTTATCTTTCAAATTTAAGCCAGATGGTATTTTCTACATAAACAGAAGCAGTGGCTACTTAGAAAGAACTTTGCTTCAAATATTATTTAAGTTCTCTTGACAAATATTTCAAAGGAGGATTTTTTTTTTGCTTTGTTTCCACAATTATAGTTATTAGCTGTGTAATAAAACAGAAGCATTCTAGGAATATACTAGAAAGAATCTGCTAGGAGACTACGCTTCAATTCCCATTAAATATTGGGTTTATATTTTGCACAGTAGAGGATGAGGGCACTGATAAATGGCTATTATATCTCTGAATACAATAATTTTCCTTTAAGGCATAAATATGTCATTTTAAAAATGCCTGTAATGCTATGTTTTATTGAAAATAATTCACAAAACTTAGACATAAAATTGGACTCCTATGAGCAGTCCACCGGTCAGGACACCTGTGTTAGACATCTTTTTTTTTTTTTTTTTTTTTTTTAACTGTATGTGTATCACGTGAGTGCGAGTACACATGCAGAGGCCAGAGGTCAGCTTTGGTGCTGTTCCCTGGGAAGGCTGCTCTCTTCCTTTGAGACAGGCTAAGTAAGTTAGGCTGTGTGCTCAGAAACCCTCCAGCCTGGCCTCCCCAGCATTATGATTGCAGGTCTGAGCCACCACGCTGTATCTTATGTTCATGCTGGGATAGAGCTTCATGCATAGGACCACTCCCCTAGCCCCACATTTTCAAAGGTCACACAAGCATGGTGCTGTCTAATATGCTAGCTTTCTTAGGAGCCCTCAACCCCTTGCCGCCACAATTTGAAGGTCGGCCTACAATTGGACTTTCTTCCTTCAGATTCCCAGTAAACATTTACGGGGGAGAGCAGGTCAGGGCAACAACAACAACAAAAAGTGCCCCTCCATTTGGTTTTTCCCAAGCCTCCCTTTATCTGTAAGAACTATGCCCTCTGTAGAGAGAGGACACAGCTCCCAAAGAATCTAGAAGTGAAAGCATACTTCCTAATCCTGTCTAGGGTCATCTTTCCCAACATGCCCTAATATCAAAGTGGGTCACAGTGTTCCTGAACCCAAAATACTGACTTTAAAGTGACTTCTCCATTTCCTTCCTGTGTTACTCTGGGTAAGGAATGACTGTGAATATTAGCTTTCATGTCCCTGTATGAAGGGCATTAGTTTTAGCTTCCTCATAAGGTGAGGGTACGAATGGAGAAATTTTTGCAATATACTTAAGTCAGCATCTGGCTCAACTAAGTGTGGGCTATTACAATTATTTTGTTTAAAGAAAACAAAATAAATATTCCGATTTATAATGAAAATATTCTCATGCACTCTGTAAGTCTAAAATGAAACATTTAGTAAACTTTCAGTGTTGTTGATGATAGGCTTTTCTGAGAAGTCCTAAATTCACAGCCTTGACAAATTTTAATGATCTTGTTCATGAATTTGCTTTGATTAAGCATGAAATTGTGAAATGTGTTTCCACATGCAAGAAATCTGTCATTTTGAACTGAAACTGAGATTCCTCATCCAAGAATGCAAGAGTTTTGTTTTTGTTTTTTCTCACTTATACTTTAAAAACTGGGGGCAGGGACTGTCTTCCATATATTTGGCATGTGTTACGTTCTTATCCAGCATTCTTCTGATACATACTCAGTAAGTATTATACCAATTAGTGAACGAATTAGTTAACCTCTTTATGATATTAAACTGCAGAGTAAAAACAGGTAGAATTCAGCCTATGGGAAAGGCATTTGAAAGAGGCTAATGTAGGACTTGGCTCACATGGATTAAGGGACCATTTTCTGACAACATTTGACTTTCTTCCTTAGAAACTACACTTTAATACAGAGCTGGGGAGACTATCTATGAAGGGAGGGGGGAAACAAGCAATAAGAATCGACTACAGATCTTTGGAGACACTTGCGGTACATAACTAAGAAATCCAGAAATTGCTCTGCTCTATAAAGTTTATTTTATGACCCTGGGAGATATTCTTACCTTAAAAATACTCTTGAACTTCAAAGATTTCACATATAACCCACCTGTGCTTTGCACGCCTCGGGAGACCTTGTGAAATTAGCAGGCAGCGTGCTTTTATGCAAATCCCACTTGATGACTATGCGAATGTAAGAACACCCTAAAGAATATTTGGAAATAAACAGAATATCTTAACCATATCCGTCGACCTTAGAATACATATGGGAAAATTACCTATCAATTTAAGTGTTTCCCTTAGAAATTAGTCTATAAGAGATAGTAAATTTCAAGGAATTAATCAAAGAAAAATCATGCCTTGGAATAAAATGAAATATAGTCTGTGGCTTTCCTAGATTGCCAGTAACATGATCTACTTTCATAAGATGTAGACATGTGCAGTGATCTCGGTACAACAGCAGTTCAAAAAGCCACTCATTGTCCCCCTCAAGAAACAAACTACTTCTCAGTGCTCCACAGACTTAGACACTTTTAAGCATTCAGACAAGTCTAACAAAAATCTGATCAGATATGCCTTTAAGTTGCCAAGAAATGTGATTGAACCCACATCCTGCAATTTCTTTTTGTTGAGCAATCTCATTCTTGAACATCTTAGAAGGGCAGGCTAAACTCTCATGCCCCCATGACATCAACAAGGACGCTTTAAAAGCCAAATCAAAAGCATTGATATGGTGATATTTCTACCAGTTGATCTGAATCATCAGTAAACAAACAAGCTTGGAGAATTTAACTGTGGGATAAGATGAATTGGGAAACAGTTTCAAGTGATGCTCAGACTGATTCTCTTCAGGAAAGGGTTGCACAAGAGGATGGAAACCCAGAATGAGCATGAAAACGTCAAGTGGCAGGCAGAGTTTGTCTCTAGAATCTGTGTGTAGGGGTTGGTGCAAGAGGGAGACGTGGGGACACTAAGCTTTGAAGGGAAAGGTGAAGGCCGAAGGAGAGAGAAAGCCAAGTGCTTCTTCATTCCTCTCTCCAAAAGTCTGAGTAGTGCGAGAGAAAGAAGAGCATGTTAGGCAGATTCCTGTTTGTGACAAACAGCTGCTCTGACCAGCGGCACTCCATGAAGGAGCAGACCACAGGCTTGACTTTGTGGCTGCATAGAAGAAACACTGTGAGGTGACCTGGTCCCTTTGCACTTAGTGGAGAAATGACTGGGTTATTTCCATACTGGACCTTCAGTATTTTCAGAGTCTTTGCAGCTACACAAATAAGCCCTACACTAAAAACAACACCCGAAGCAGCAGGAAAACTAAAAAAATGCACATTTACACGCATAACTACTGAACTGTTTAAGTTCTGGTTAATTTAAGAACAAAGAACTCTCTAGTCTAGATATCTATATGTTTTATCCACATACTAAAAGATAGGTGTGGGACATTCTTGTGTTTATTGATGCACCCTGCTCATGCATCTGGAGTGAAATAGACAAAACTTTACAAATGAACAATTTTAACATATTACTCTCTTTGCAGATTCTTTCCTATGACTCATTCAGTACTGGCAGATAAGACTTCAGACATTTGACCAAAATCTGTTATTTGCTAATTCTATGTAATGTGCTATCAGTGATAAATAACCAAGAGGTGTCTGTCCCACACAATGCTAGACATTAAAAACATTAACAGTGAAATATTTACTTTTCTTTTGGACTGGGCTTGAAAAAAATCAGATTGTAAACAAACCCCAAAACCAATCAATACGGAAAAAAAAAAAGAAATGTGAACTGCTATTTAAAATATTGACATTATTGCATGATTTGATTAGATGGAGTGTTGAACCTGCATGCAATTACCTCAATGCCTGCTCTTGCATATTAAAATTTCCCAGTATTTGATCTTACCTGTGTTATTCTTGACTGTTAAAACACTTGTGCAGTCATAAATGTATAAATGGCATGTTTATGCACATTGCACATTGACACTTTTTATGAATGAATACAAATAAATGCTCCTAATCTGAGAAAATGGATGGTAGGATATTATCTTGAAAAGGGTCGTTAAGTCTTTAGAACAGATGATGAGGCAAATGGTGGGTGTCTTTTGATGCCACTCAGGACAACTGTATTCCCAAGTCTCCTAGGCAGAGCGTGTTGGAAACAGCCTTGGAGTGCTTTCCTTAGAGACCTGTTCTAGCTCGCTCCTGGAAACCAAGACCACTCACCATTGAGGAATAAAACGCATGCATGCCTCAGTGTTCTGAGGACTGTACATGCAACGAGAAATCACACTCCCTAACTCTAGTCCGACAAGTGTGTGCGTGCGAGTGTGGCATTTACTAACAAACGAACAGGAGCAGAAGGCAACAGGGACTCCTTTCCTACATAAAACAGTTCTCATCCCTTTGGTCAAGGCAGGCTTGTCAGGGGCTCACACTTGCATGTCTTCCTTACCAAGAAGAAGCCTTGCGTTAATAATCGGTCAGTAATAATCATCAGTCAGGGCTAACAACCCGGTCAGCTTTGTATGTAAGTCCATTGGGCGCCATATGGCAGTTTCCAGTTCCTTTAGCAACTCAAGTCTTGGCAGGCTGTCAAGGCGAAGCATCTCTAAAGAGCTCTTGGGGAGCAGCAATGCCCGGGCCACTTACCTAGCTCCCACAGACCCCGCTCCACGCAGCCAGCAGCCCTGGCTCCTGTGCCACAAAGGGCGGTGGGATTCCCCGCTCCCTCGGAGGGCTCCTCTCCTACGAAGGTCCCTTTCGTCAATGCTGTGTCGTTGGAAATCCCCCTCCCCTCTGCAGAGAGGAGGGTCTCCCCTGCTGGCTGGAGCTCCGGGCGGTTTTCCTTCTCTCTTTACATCCCTCACTCCGGTTGGCAGCCTCTAGTAGGAAGGCTCACAGAAGACTCATTGGGAGGAAGCGAAGACATCCTTTAAAAAGAACAATAATCTTCCTCGATCGTCACCCCCTTTCCCCGCCTAGAGCCCCCATCCCCCTGCCCGCCGCCGCCCAGATCAGAGAGGGCTGGAGTGAAGGGGGAAAAAAAAAATCAAGTGGTGCTCTGCGCGCCGCGCCAGCCCCGGACTTGGCTCTGGATCCCGCTGCCCGAGGCGCGGCGGCGGTGGCGGCGGCGGCGGGGGCGGCGGGTGCTCGGTGGCGTTCGGTGGGTGTGTGTCTGTGCAGCAGCGGTGCTAGGTGCACGCGAGAAGAGGCCAGGCGGGGCGCTCGGGGTGCGGGTCCTCCTTCCCGCAGCTCTCCGGCCGGGCGCGCACACTCGCCCGCGGCCACCCAGACTAGCGCTCCGCCTCCCGCGCTCCGCGCACCCGCGGGCTGAGCGGCCGCCGCCGCCTCTCTCTCTTTCTCTCCTTCTCTGTGTCTCCTCCTCCCGCAGCTCCCAGGCAATCGTGGCTCCCGGGGTGGGCGGCCCTGCTGCGCTGCTGGCCGGGCACCTCGGGTGGGAACGCCAGGCTCGGCCTCCCGGCACCAGAGCTGTGCGCTCGGCAGGCGACAGCGCCCCCGGTGCCCAGGGCGCGGCCGGGGCGCTGGCGATCGGGCGCCGCCCACACCTCGCTGGGATCCTCCCTCGGCTCCCGCCGCTGCCTAGGTCCAGGCTCCACACCCACCTGCCTCTCCGCAGGGCTACCACAGAGCTGCACCCGGCAAGGGGCCCACAGCCCCGCGGTCGGTCACCGCAAGCACGCTGTTGGGGAAGCCCTGGGACGCCCCGCCGGGACGCTCCCGCGGCTTCACGGATTTCCCGGCCCTTGTCTTCCAGCTGTTGTGCTCTCCCGCCTCCCGACCCCTAAGCGACCAGAACCCGGGCTGTCTGTTCCACCATGGGGAAGTGGGGCGAGGACATATGGCTCCTGAAGGATGGGCCCCAGAGTGTTCTCCCATAAAAGAAGCTTCCGGAATAAACGGGAGTCCAGGTGGAATGTTACTTCACTCCGGGAACCTCCAGCTATGCTCGGGGACCATCCCTACCTAGCCTAAGTCAACGCTTTTCTGTGTTTGGGCGATAAAGCTGGGTGGGAGGCCTCTTTGACTCTTGCTTCCCACGGGGGCGCTGTTCAGACCCTGGCTTGCTTGCTTTAGTGATCTATTTACTGGCTGGAAAACTCTGCCAAGTTTTCCCTTAGTGAGAGGGCGATAAGGTGGACACCCCAGGCCCCTCCCCAACTTCAGGGTGTAATAAATGCAGTGAACTTGAACAAAATTACTGGGCTCTGCAGCTTCCTGACTTAGGTGCACCTCGATGGTTGGAACATTAAGCAGTCAAAACAGTTGTGTGTCTCTCAGGAAAACAAGTAACTTAAAACACCCTTTCTTTCTAAAAGAATTCAGGACATGAGAATATTATATTTAGAGCTGGGACCCTGACATTACTTTTGACCAAGAATATCTAGATACTGCGTTTAAAATATATCTCATTTAGTCCTATGTACAGGAGGTGGGATAGCCTTTCGGAATTCTCTGTGTCTTGAGTTCCGGCCTCGCTAGGTCTTACCTTGTGCTGAGCGGTCCTTTTCTGAGCTGTCACGCTTGCTGGATGTTTACTCTGGGACCTGGTTCTTCTAACTCCATCACCCTCCTGCAAGACACTTGCCTTGGCTCCTGTTTTTCTCTCCCTGCGACTTCTGAAGTGTGAGCACCAAGAAGAGAATGCCTGGATTCTAAAACCTTTATCATAATCCTGGCCCATTCCCAAGCTCCAGCTCCAAGTGTCCAGGAGTTTGCAGGGAGTGTCTTCTCTTGCCTCCAGTCTTCCCATACAGTTTATATTTCTCTGCAGACGACTAGTTCCCAAGAACAACACTGAAGCCATAACTGCCTGCACAGCTGTGTCAGTGGGTCCTGTGTTTCTTTCCTTCTAGAATATTCCTTACTACCTCGCAGGTCCAAACTACTACAGCCTTTTCAAGGATCATTTCATACTCTTAACTCTTCAAAGACCAGCCCTCTACCCCCACCCCCAGACATCCATAGCACACTGTCCTGGCTTTTTGTTTGTTTTGTTTTTCAAGACAGGGTTTCTCTGTGTAACAGCTCTAGCTGTCCTGGATCTCGCTCTAGAGACTAGCCTGGCCTCAAACTCACAGAGATCCGCCTGTCTCTACCTCCTGAGTGCTGGGACTAAAGGCATGCACCACCACTGCCCAGCTCTGTCCCAGGTTTTTAAAGAGACACAGGGTACCATCTGCTTTATATGGCATATGTGTACTTCAGTGTCTCATTGTAAACCACAAGTCCCCCCAGGAATGATTTAAAAATACCTTCACTGTTTTCATGCCTTCGATGGAACCCAAAGCCCCATATTTATTCAGCAAACACTCACTGCACAGCAGAGGACCCAGGTTCTGTTGCCAGCATCCACATGACAACTCACAACCAGCTATAATTCCAGTTCCAGGAGATCCAACAGCCTCTTCTTGCCTTAGAGGGCACCAGGCATGCACGCTGTATGCATATACACATGCAGGAAAAACACTAACACATGCAAAATAAAAATACAGTTTTTAAGTAAAAAAAAAAGTAATTGCCTTAAACTTTGGTTAGATCTAAGACATTTGAATCCATTTGTCTAGCATAAGAATGATTGTTAGCCCACCTGCAACACTGCCATCCCCAGTTCCTGGGAGACAAGGTGCTAGGGGTTGGTTACCCATCAGCCTCAGTTGAGTGTCTGAGATGCAATGATAAGAAAACAATTTCAGGATAGGGGAGGTGATCTGATTCTGCTTATGGGGGAGGGGGCAGTTACTCACTGGAAGTATTGTGTACCAGTTGTTATGGCGGAGTTCTCCCAAAGCACAGAGCTTTGGTTGCAACCGACAGCCAAAACTCCTGCATTCATTATCATCATGTGGCTGCACCTCTTCAGTGCATAAATTTCCATCTTCTCCATTTGTTCTCCAAAGGAAAATGTAACATGATGTAGCTGAAAAGTCAGACATGTTTTCATATTGCTTCTTAACTCATTTTTAATCTTTATTGAGATTTATAGAAATGTTCCTTTTGCTTATATTTCAATTTCTCAGATTCATCCTGTGATATGATGAAATTATATTAAAGAGGAGAAATGACTGCTTACTGTGGTGTGAAAATGCCTACCTGGTAAAGCCTGCTAAAATAAATAGCTGTAGTACAAGGTTAGCCTGAAATAACCTTTCTGCATATCAGTAGACACAATTTAAATGAAAAATGTGTTTCCTCATACCTCATAATGTTGCTGTATATGAATCTCTGCACATACACAGTACAGAGCATAGTACGTTCTTGGATTTTTGCTGTTGAATGCAGCATTTGGAAATATTTAATTTAATCTGAATAGCATTAGTATTTAGTTCAGTGTATCAAGCAGAGGTTTGAATTGCATGTTGACTTACAGGGTCTGTATGCATTAGAATAAAATAGTACATCTAGAGGATGAACATATTTTTTAAATGCTAAATGCATAAAGGGCAATAATTTCCAAGTTTTTGGAGACTTAATTTGGTGGTTTGATTTTTTTAATTTATATTTATTTATTTACTTTTTATGGCAAATGAAGTCAGTGTAGTGACACAGGCCTATAATCTCAGCACTTGGGATGTTAAAGCCCAAGAATCTCAAATTACAGGCCAATGTGGGCTACTCAGAAAAAAACTCTTCCAAAAGAAAAAAAATTGAAGGCACTGTACAACGTATTGAGTAAAATCAAACAAAAATGAAGGTCAAAAGAAGAGTCTCCAAAAAATGTCACAGGCCCCATTAAGAGGAAAAATTAAAGCCCATGAAAATATAGAGTGTGTGCATGCACAGGTATGTGCATGCATATGGGTGTATGTGCACATGTGCATGCATGTGCATGTGTATGTGTGTGCATGTGCGTGCACGCACATGCACAGTCTGGAAAAGTTTTTATTACCAAGCTAAAGAAATTGTCTCTGAATTGATAGGCAGGTTTGTTTTGTTTGGTATAACCCAATCATATCAGAAGATGTGGTGGCTATCAATTTCCTTAAATATCAGCACATAATAATTCTATTTGTGCCCTTAATTAAAATCCAATTTATATATTGATTGTGACTAAAGGCTTTTTTAAAGAGCAAATATTGTGGGTTTTATTGTCATAATGGAAGCTGTGTATGGCAATAAGGAGTTAACATGCTTTAAAGTCTAATGTGCTTCAATATTTCCTTCTAAACAAAACTGTAGGCACAGTTGGGCAGTTCTGAGCAACTCCCAGAATCCAACGCTCAGGTACACAGTGAAGGCTAGGAAAATAAATGAGCTGTCCGTGCTCTTCACTGAGGAGGTAAGTGCTATCTCACGGGTGCTCTTGGGTTTAGTTGAGACGGACTTGGCTGTTCTTTGAAGATTTAAAGCAAGAGATAAGTTCCTGACTGACTATATTTGCATTTAAAAAAATAAAAAACAAAAAACAATTCCTGCTCTGAGCATGAACTTTTTGAAAAATGCCAGACACTTCAACACATTTTTTTTCTATGTCCTAGGATGGCTCTAAGTACCACAGTTGAATTCACCCTTTAACCCACTAGCAGACAGTCTTAGCATCTAAGCATAAGCCGCTTGTTTTTTTCCTTAGGAATCATAAGGATTGTGGTAGAGAGTTTCTGGAACCAGTGAACTAGAAATTTAAAAAAAAATATACACTTAGAATTTGAAACTGTGATACATTTCTAGGGCATTGCAGAGCAATGATTGGAACCCCACTCAGTCTTGAGTCTCATTTTTGTTAAGTGTTTATGCTGTGTAATAACAGATACATTTTTAGCTATCTTACTACATATCAGCCATTAGGCTGAATTCTTTACAGGTCTTTATGAGTTTAATCCTTAAAGATAAAAACTATCATCATCATCATCATCATCATCATCATCATCATCATGACACTGTTGTTATTGTTAAAGATGGAGGCAACTGAACCAGAGAGAATTTAAATTCCTAGCCTAAGATCACATGGCTAAAGTGGTAGAATTGGAGTTTGACAGGAAGCAGTGTATTCTCAAAGTTTTAGGCTACCGTACTTCACCCCACATTCCTAGTCCCTTTCTTGTTTCACTTGATTGCCTCACACTCATGTGGGGAAATGCACAAAACACTAAGATCTAAGATACATGTGTGGCTTACAAAAAAAAAATATCATTGATCCTAAATGGGCATGGATGTGGAGCATGGAGGTAGGGTGTGTATCTTTGTTTTCTGACAGACTGGTCACTTGGTTTACTCACATGGTTTATCTATTGTCTGAATGACTGTGTTGTATTGGTTTGATTTGAAAAAAAAATACTGGAGCTTTGAGGATAAGGCATGCTGTCACAGACTCTGATGAAGACTTTCAGACTCACCTAAAGAAGATACCTCTGTGGATGGCTCACCTAGATGTACCAGATGGCTGCAATCTGTCAACATACCATTAACACAATG